TACATGTATTTGTCAAAAAGGAAAATTAAGTTATGCAAATTAAGTTTTATGATTTCAAATTTGTATATTAAAACTATTATTAGAAGTAAAATCATTCCCTGGGATTAAAGGCTGGCTTTCTGGGATTAAAGGCGCTGTAATCATCACCAAAGAAAAAACTCACACCAATGCAGAAATCTGTTAGTCCGTTAGTTTGGTGCAGGCAAGTTTTGGATTACCCAAGTCCTGACGTGGAATGTACGAAAAAGTCTCTTATCCACAAACTTGATCAAACTATGTCAGCTCTCAAGAGGCAAAATTTATACAATAATCTTTTCAACTCTATGAGTTATACAAGTCCTTATAGCCCAAATGCCAATAGCCCTTACAGCAGCGGCTTCAACTCTCCATCCTCAGCACCAGTGCGACCTCCTATAGTCAAGCAGCTTATACTTCCTGGAAATTCAGGTAACTTCAAAAGTTCATCAGATAGAAATCCTCCACTCAGCCCTCAATCCTCTCTATAGATAGTGAGTTAAGTGCTTCAGAATTAGATGAAGATTCAATTGGATCCAACTATAAGCTAAATGATGTAACTGATGTGCAGATTCTAGCCCGGATGCAGGAAGAAAGTCTCTGGCAGAAATATGCAGCCACCACCTCCCGGCGCAGTTCTGGTTCATCTTGCAATTCTACAAGGCGGGGCACTTTTAGTGATCAAGAGCTGGATGCACAGAGCTTGGACGATGAAGATGATAGTATGCACCATGCCGCCGTATACCCTGCTGTGAACAGGTTTTCTCCATCGCCACGCAATTCACCCCGACCGTCTCCTAAGCAGTCACCTCGCAATTCACCTCGCTCACGCTCTCCTGCCCGGGGGATAGAATACAGTAGAGTATCTCCACAGCCTATGATTAGTCGTTTGCAGCAACCTCGCCTTTCCCTCCAAGGCCATCCCACAGATTTACAGACAAGCAATGTTAAAAATGAAGGTAAGACAGAAGAGTTTGGGCAATGAGGTGTCCATGTGTTAGTGTAAAAAGAATGCATTCTTCCCCAATTTTTTTTTTAATGTTAATCATGTTCACCATTTTATTAATGCAAACATTAGGGGAAAGTAAATGTCACTTTAGGAAACGAAGTATCTGTCAGTTACTATTGTGATTCCCAAGCCAGACTGCGGGGCCAAATGGACATGGGAATTCTTAAGGGGTTTGTTTTATTTCACTCATGGAGTAGACTTTATTTCTATAGATTTGATTATATAATTTATAGTTTCTTTAAGAGTGCTGTTATTTCTTCCATTTATAGCCTCTAAGTTAGATTGTTTTTTCTTTCTTTCTTTCTTTTTCTTTCTTTTTTTTTCTTTTTTAATATTTCCTGTTACTTATACAGTATACAGAAATAAATGTTTAAATATATCATTTTACTTCAAATTATACTTAATATCTGAAAGAATGGTTTGATTTTTGTTTTGTTGTTGTTGTTGTTGTTACTATCATTCATTTCAAATCCCACTGTTGTAGAAAAACTCCGACGCAGTCTTCCAAACCTGTCCCGGACATCAAGCTCACAAGCTGACTCAGTGAGAAGCAGCAGAAGTGATTCCAGTTTCCAAGTGCCAAACGGAGGGGTGCCTCGGATGCAGCCTCAGGCCTCAGCCAG